AGCCGAAGGCCGAGGAGCACAACGCAGGCGGGGTGACCGCGTAGGTGTGACTCGGGATGGCGTAAAGCCGAAGGCCGAGGAGCACAACGCAGGCGGGGTGACCGCGCAGGTGTGACTCGGGAGATGCGAAGCTGAGGGCCGAGGAGCACGACGCAGGCGGGATGACCGCACAAGTGTGACTCGGGATGGCGTAAAGCCGAAGGCCGAGGAGCACAACGCAAGCGGGGTGACCGCGCAGGTGTGACTCGGGAGATGCGAAGCTGAGGGCCGAGGAGCACAACGCAGGCGGGGTGACCACGCAGGTGATGGCCTCGGATGTAGCATGACCAAGGCAATACTTTGGCTTTTGATCAGTGTTTAATCGCTTTGACCGTTTGTGCGGGCGCGGGCAGCCGGGTCACCTTTTGCCTGGGGAAGATCAAAGGGCCACTCCTTTTGTTGGTTTTCGAGGTTGATATGATTAGGGGCTCCGTACTTCGCACCGCGCTGTGATTAAGAGCCGCGCCAGCCGTAGTTATGGCGATGCGACTCTTGCGTCTTCGCAGCACATCTCGGGAGAGGAAGGGTCGCCGTTTCGGCGGGAAACAGGCTATAAGTAGCACTTCGTCGGTCTCTTCCTCCTCTTGGTGCCTGCATTTGCTTCATCCCTCTCTTTGGTCGACTTAGCCTAGCGCTCTTCAGCCGCCCTTCCTTCCCAATAGCTCGGTAAGGATGGCTTCCCCTCCTTCGTCCCCTCCTTCTTTGCCTCCTCTCTCCGGTGCCGCCGGTGAGGATGTGGCGTTGGCGAGCTCTTGCTCGTCGTCCGAGGAAAGGGCCGCCAAAGCCCTCGAATCGCTGATGTGGCCGCACGACCTCGACTCCACTGTGAGTGAGTCGACGCTGGGCCTACTTCGGGACTGTTATGGCATCCCGGCGGAGTTCACGCTCCTCGCCCCAGAGCCGGGGCAGCGGGCGTATGATCCCATTCCTAGGAGCTTTGCCCTGACCGTATACGCCTTCGAAGCCGGATTACGCCTACCGTTCCACCCAGTCATAACCTCCTGTGTCGCGTGGTGGCGCATTTCTCCTTCTCAGATGGCGCCGAATTCATGGCGCTACCTGGTGGCGTTCCTCGGGGAATGCTACTACGCCCGAATCACCCCAAGCCGATCCCTTTTTCTTTCCTACTTTCGCCTATCTAGGGGGTCGAGGGGCTATTATCTGTCTGCCCGACCGGGTTTCCGGGTCAGCGGGGCTCCTTCCAGTAACAAGGGGTGGAAGGAGCGCTTCTTCTATGTCTGCCATCCGGAGAGTTGGAGCTTCGGGCTCCGGTGGGCGGCGCACGCAGTTGATAACACTGCCCCGGCCTTGGATGAGGGGGAGCTCCGAGCCCTTCGAAGATTGAAGGAGATCCTCCCATCTTCCAGAGTCATCCGAAAGATGACCGAGGCGTGGTTGGTCGAGGCGGGCTTGAGCCCGGTGCCTCGAGGTATGCCTTGAGAAGGTGGCGGTAGGCCTTCCTGTTTTATTTTGCTTTTGTCGGGATGCTAACCGAGGCCGACATGTTTTTGCAGAGATGGTGAACCTTGCTGCAGTGCGTGGAGGACGCGCTTCGTCCGCCGCATCTCCTCGGCGCCAGGTCGGCTTGGGCGCAGGCACAAGGGAGGCGCCAGTAGAGCTTGAGGTTGCCCGCCCTCGGAAGAAGGCCAAGGTCGTCGTCTCGAAGAAGCCGATCTCCCCGCGGGTTTAGGAGAGCGTGGGGGCGGCGGAGTCGGGCTCGCACGACAGGCGAGGGCGAGGTTGGTGCGAGGCAGGCCCGAGCAACGTGGTTGCAGGGAAGGCGACTCGGGAGCCTTCGATCCGGGACTTGTGCCGTCTTCCCGCGGGCCCGTCGAACGACTTTTACCATGCGCCCCTGATGGGCGAACTTTCCGAGGGCCAACCTTCTGACCGGTTGGTAGCCCGCTGGGGGGGGCTGACCCAAGGGACCCGGGTGTGGGCCGACGGGGAGACCGCGGCTGCGTTTGTCCGAGGGGGGCTGCATCCTAATCTGGCCCGCGAAATGTACACTCTGCCGTCCGACGTCCTGCTCGGGAAATCCGTGAATTCGCTGCTGTGGGTAAGTGCTACATTGCTGGCTTCCGGCCCATGGTGTGACCGAGGGTTCTGACTTTCTCTTCTACAGGGCCAGCACTATGCCATGGCGTTGGCGGATCGCGTTCGCGACTCTGGTCGGGCCTTGGGTGTTTTGTGCGATCGCAATGCCGAGCTACGCAAGCAGCTCGAGGAGGTTCGTGCGGGGGTGGCCCCTGAGGCGGTCGCGGCGGCTGAGCTCTTCGGAGCTCGAAGCGGAGGTGACCCGTCTCCGGGCTGAGGCCGAGGTTCTGCGCCTGAGGTCCGAGGCGAAGGCGGCCGAGGAGGAGAGTGACAACCTCCGAGGACTCCTGGAGGGGGCACAATCCGAGGCTCGCCTGGCCCAGGGCGAGGTGGCCGCCCTTACCCAGCGACTGGAGGGGGCTTTGGCTGACGCGAAGGGGGCCTCGGAGGCCTTGGCGGCTGAGCGAGAGCGACGACCGGAGAATGAGAAAGAAATAATTGAAGCCTACAAGCAATCCCCCGGCTTCCAACTCGGGCTGGTTCGGTCGGGGCAAGTTACTTACGAGTACGGCTACCGGATAGCCCTAGGCCGGTTCCGGACGTGCCACCCCGGGTTGGGGGTCGAGGCGGATCCCTTCACCTCGCACCCCGAGGATTTGGACGTAGACATGCCGGAGGATGTTCCTTTCGACGATAGCGTCGGGGGTCCCGATGGCTTAGGGTAGTCTTGACATCAGCTCGGCCGAGCTTGTAATTTTTGCAGTCTTCGGGTCAGGTCGCCGTTGTAGTCCCGTGTTTTGCAAATAAAGAAATCTTCTTCCATTCTGTTACGTCTTGTAAGTCGAGCCTCGTATTTTCATGCTCCAGAAATGAAGAGGTCCTTTCCCAATATGT